ACCCCCACCCCACCCCCCGCAGACCTGGGAGACAGGCCCTGGTGCTATTCCCTCCTCCCAGCCTGTCCCACTGCTCTGTCTCTTGCTTTCTCTGACAACCTACAGCCTTGTTCATGGCCTTACCTGATTGCCTGCCCTGTCTCTGAAGATCGCTTAAATCCAGTCCTCACTCTGAACTTACCATTTCTGATTTCCAACCTCACATTTTGGAGAGAAAAGTCTGACTGGTCCAGTTCATGTTTTTAAACCATGCCACAAGTGACGGTCTACTGACAGCTAATGGATTGGTTTCCTTTGGCTGGATTTTTAGGGATTGCTTTAGTGTTTGTTTATTTGTTCTTTTTCCCCTTTTACTGTATTTCTTTGTACAATTTTTTAGTGATTGCTGTAGTGATTAAAAACTACATACTTAACTTTTCACTGTCTACTTAGATTTAATATTTTACCATTTCAAGTGGAATGAAGAAACTTTACCACCATAGGTCCCTTTACCCTTCTCCCCTTATATTGAAGTTTTTACATGTATTATATCTATATATATATCTATATATCTATATATATCTATATCTATATCTATCTATCTATATCTATATCTATCTATCTATCTATCTATCTATCTATATATATATCGAAAATACCATCAGACGATGTTATAATTTTTGCTTTTGACTGTTATACATATTTTAAAGAACTAAAGGAGACAAAAATCTCCTATTATTTTTACCCAGATATTTAGCATTTCTATTCACTGCTTCCCCCATTTATCATGGAGTTACAGCTTCAAGGGGGGGGGGCTTGCCTTGTTACAGAAGTAGGAGAGAATAGAAAAAAAAAAAAAAAAACAGAGACTTTCTCCCATTCTCTCTGGGCCCCCCATCCTGCTCTTTGGACTAGGGAGGCCTTCTCTTAGACCTCTTTCTGATGGCTAGTTCTAGGATTTGTGCTGCTTTTGAGTCCTGGGAAGAGATCATAACCCAGGACACTCACCACTGGACCATTGCACCTCTGGATCTGGCTTCCTTCCCAAGTATGCTTGCTGCCATTTACTTTCAGAACCCTCAGATAGCTGCTTCACCCAGTCTGTCCAGGGTTTCTAGTTGTGTTCAGTGAGAGAGATAGGGTAGAGTGCGCTTACTCCATCTTTACCAGAACCAGAAACTCCACTGAAATTGTGTTTCTTTAACTGCTAGAGTTGATGGCTTTCCCAATGTCCCTTAATATCTCCTCTACCACCCACCAACCCCTGCAACACACATAACCAATTAAAGGAGTCAGAGAGCCAAGTGTGCCGTCTTGGTGCTGATTGGTGCCTGTGTCCCTCTAGATACTCCAAGGCTCCCCATCTGTTCTGAGCCCTTTCCCTTGATGTGCCCTTATCCTCTTCAGCAGACATGAGGTTCTGAAGGCAGCTACTCCTAGTTGCCCCACTTGCTGCCTAGATCAGGCCAGCAGCAGCAGCGATTTGAAAACCATCAAGTGCCTCTGTTTGCTTTCCACCAGTTGTCACCCTCCATCTTGTTCTGAGGCCTACTATAGCCATGTTAAAAAGTAGGACCAAGAAGCTATCTCTGCCACTTACTTATTGCTGGAGTGTCAGAAGCATTCAGGGAACTTGCAGACCATCTGACAAAATCTGCCATTGCTCAAATGAGGGAACTGCAATCCAGAGAGGGAAAGGGATTGCCAAGTCTACCCAGCTAGTCAGTGGCCACACTGGGCCAGCTCCCATTGCCTGTCTTCTGTACAGCCCTCACACCATGCAACTTCCCCCATTCACATCCCTCCAACCACCTCTCTACAGTCTTCTTGCCTCGCCCACTGTGAGTAGCCTTCCAACTACTCTGGCCTCCTTGATGTTCTTCATATACTCCAAGCACGTTCCCACCTCCAGACCATCACACTTGCTATTTTCTCTGCTAGAACACCCTTCCTAGTAGAGGATACTCTTCTTGATAGCTCGATCTCTCACATCACTCATTCAGGTCTCTGTTCACAGAGAGGCCTTTCCTGACTACTCAGTCTAACATAACATCACCCCCATCATTCTCATCCCCTTGCCCAGATTTAGTTTATTTCATAGTACTTATTTCTCTTAGATATTATAACATAAATTGATTTGTTTGATTTTTTTATTTTCTGTCTCCCCTATTAGCATATAAACTCCATGAGACTTTTTTTTCCCGATAAGGGGATCGAACCCGTGGCCTTGGTGTTATCAGCACCACACTCTCCCAAGTGAGCCACGGCTGGCCCTCCCATGAGACTTTTTTATTGACCACTGAATCCCTAACACCAGGAGGGTCCAGCACTTAGTAGAAACTCAATAAATATTTGCTAAATGAATGTTTGCATTTGTATTAGTTTAAATAATTAAAATTCAACATAAGAAGCAAACATCATCTCAGCAGCATTCAGCAGTAAGTATTTATTTAGCATGCAGCATAAGTATTTATTTGTGGGTTAGAGATTGGCTGAGCTAGGCCAGGCTTGCCTAGAGTGGGTCAGCCTTGTTCCATGTGTCTCTCTTCTTCTTCTTGGGCCCAGCCGGCTGGCCTGTGTATGTACTTCTTGTGGAGATGGCATAAGTGAAAGGAGAGAGTTTAACTGCCCAAGAGCTTTCCAAGCCCCTACCTGCACCTTATCTGTTAACATTCCATTGGCCAGAGCAAGTCAGTGAGCCCAGAATCAGGCAGGCACAGAAGAGTCGAGCAGACTACACCCTACTCACTGGAGGGCACAGCAAAAGTACAGGGCATAGGGCACAGATGTGTAACCCTCTCAAGATGGCATGAAGAACTGGAGCAATAAAACTGTCTCCCACAGAATTAAAACTCTGCTTTCTGATTTTATAATTTTCCTGAAACATATGGAATCTCCAAGTGGCTGCATTTCCACATTAAGAGTTTGGTCCCAGGGCTCTTAGGTATATGGTGACTCTCCCGAGCCTCTGCCCTTTTATGAGAAATCACACCAAGCAGCTTTAGCTTTTAAAACCCTGGTGCTGCTGGTAATGTGGGGTGAGTTTGATGTGCAGGCCTGTGTTTTTAATTGCCCTCACCATTTCTTTCATTTTAGGGACAGCTGGTATGGCTGGAGATGTGATCGCCACCAAAATTGTCGAGCTGTCCAAAAAGAACCGGGTGCTGATGGCAGAGTCAGAGGGTGCGAAAACCAGAGTGAAGCAGCTGACCAATCGCATCCAGGAGCTGGAGCAGGAAGTGAGGGGCCTGGTCATTCTTCCTCTGCAGGGGACCCCCAGAACTCTGGGCTACTCCTCCAGAGAGGAAGCCATATTTAGTTACTTTGGGTCCTTTTGAAGGGCTTGTGGGTCAGTGTTTGCAGTGAATTCCTCAGTCTGTCACATTCCAAGAAGGGAAAGTGTCAGGAAGCAAGAGGGATGCAGGTCATTGAGAGGCAGCCCAGCAGAGTGGGCAAGGAAACAGACCTGGCTTCTGACTGCCTGGCTGTGCATCTCAGCTCCATCACTGACTTATTTGACTTCTAGCAAGTCATAGACTCTCTGTGTCTCACTTTCCTCCATCCATCACATGTCAATAATAACAGTACTCACTCAAAAATTTTAATAGTATTAAATGACTTAACATTATAAAATGCTTAGAACAGTGCCTGGCATGTAGTAAGCACTAGATAAACATCTGTTAAATAAGTTCACAGAGGTCCCTTTTGATCTGAAGTTAGAGCTAGAAACATTCCCCCAGCTGATGTCACTGTTACCTGTCTTCCTTTTTCTGCTGCCCCCCACTCTCCCACAGCTAATCACAAATGCCTTCCGTAGAGCGAGGGCACAGCACAAGTGGTTCCCGGTCCCTTAGGAGTTAGAATGGAATCCACGTGCTGGAGGGAAGCTGCCTAGCTTCTCCTTGTATAGCTGGAGGAGCTGAGGTTGGAAGAGGGAGGTTAAGAGGCTCTCTTAAGCCACACAGATGTGATGATGCTGGATTTCAAATCCCATTCTGTTGCCCTCCAACCTAGGCTTCTCAGTATCTCTGACCCTGTCTCCTTGTCTGTAACCTGAAATCTATAATTCTTTTATTCTCTGCTTCCTAGGCTGTTGTTAGAACTCCAGGAGACAGATTATGGCTGCAGCATTATTATTTATTGAGCTGTTAGTGAATCCTTGGGCTGCTCTTGCAGTACAACTGGGGAGTGGGGAAGACAGTCAATTAAACTCTCTCCCATTGTGGAGCAGTTTGTCATGGAGAATTCTTCCATTAATGATCCTAAAGAGAGCTAAAAGGACAAACCACGGAGATAGGTAACCACAAACCCAGCGGCACCAGAACACTTCACTTAGGCTGCACAACTCCTGAGCAGAATTAAATATTAAGTGTGAGGTTTGCTTTTTCAGCTGCAGACAGCCCTGGCCAGGATACCAGCCAATGGGGCCACCGACGCAGGAACCAAACCATCGAAGGCACAGATAGGAGACAAGACCTTGGTATGAATTCTCTTCTGTGCTGGGAAGTTCGCGAAGCAACTGTCAGCCTGGGCCTCCCTTCCTCCGTGGGAGTATAGGTGCCTCTGCCCAGAGTCCACTCCCCATCCCATTGTTAAGCCTGGTGTCCACTGTCTACCATTACAGCATCCTCTGAGCAGCCACCAGGGAATAGTACTGATGCTATGGCCTGAGGTCAGGAATGCCCTAGCAGGGAGGGTCTAGCTCTGATTCAGTCTCCAGAAAGGGAAGGTGGTAGCGGCCTGAGGACACTGGAACCTTACGACCTTAGGACCAGCAGGGAAAGCCTGGCCCAACTGATCCCCTGCTTTCAGCCCAGGCATCTCCTATACAGCATGCTCACTGGGGAGACATCCAGCCTCCATTGTACCCCAGGGTTGGGGAGCTCACACTGTTCAATGGAGCCCTATTCTTTATGGGCCAGCTCACACTGTGAGGAGTCTTCCTTTTGTGGAGCTCCAGATCTACAGAGTAAATGTGACTATTGGGAATTGGGGCTTATGCCCCCAGATCCCATTTTACCAAACCAGTACGCAGTCCATGAAACCCAGGAGATGGGAATTGCAGCTCCGTGAAGGGAAGGGAGTCTGACCCAGTGGGTTGCCAGGGGCATGGAGCTCAGGCTGGACCAGAAAGAGCATCAGTCTCAAGAACATCCCAGGAGGCCTTGCCAGGGGTTTTCTGGGGAAATCAGGCCAGTTGGTGACAAAGGGAGCTAAGTCCCAAGACTCCCAGTTCCGTGCTCCTTTTCTAGACCCACCTATGTTGGCTGTGCCTGCGGATCAGGCCACCTCATGCCTGTCTTGAGGAGAATTCAGTCCTCAGTGTACAGTCATGGGCTCCTGAGGTTCCAGGGTGAATACGTCTCCTTAAGGCTAGTCTTGTGTAAACCTGTCTCGTTGCTGGGAAGGCAGCAGAGGGGCTCTGACCTTGGCAGGGGCTCGTCTGCATGGTCTTTAGGGCCTTTCTTGACTCCAAGGAACACTGCTAAGCTGCCCCTGGTTTATCCAGAGCATTGAGCACCTCTGTGTCCCTAATGAGAGCTGCCCTGGAAGAGAAACTGCTTGTTCAGTCACTTGTGGAACCTAATGGGATTTTCTGAGTCCTGAGACCCAGGGAATCAAAAACAGGGCCTGTGTCCATGGGAAGGCCAAGAGAGGAGATGAGGAGCCATATAAAAGGAAGGATGTAAACAGGGTCTTCAGAAACAGCCCCAGGGCTCTGGGTTCACAGAGAGAGGACGCCCTCCATCTGAGGCAGCTGGAAGGTGGCATGGAGGAGGTCACCCTAGAGGTGGGCCTTCCCAGAGAAGAAAGATGGGAAAGGGCCTTCCAGGAGGAGCAGAGCAAGCCAAGGCACAGAGGTCACAAAGTACTAAATATTCCTGCCCAGTTTGTGTAACTGAGTGTCAGCTGGATAACACTGGGCTGCAGTCCAGAGCCCACAAAGGGGAAAAGGGGAACATAAGCCAAAAAAAGCTGAGGGGGGGTCACACACAGAGGGAGGCCTTGAATGGCAGCTAGAGCAGGAGTTTAAGCTTCATTCTGTGGCCCCAGGGACCCCGGGTGGTTTTTGATGGAAGGTGGGCTGCAAGTTTCAGTTCATCAGCACCACGTGTTTTCCCTGGCATCCTAAGATCAGTGTGAACAAAAGCAAAGCTCCCTCATTAAGCTGTTCGGGGTGGCCCAGGCCTAAGCCTCACTCCTGAGGCCTATAGGCTCTGTCTACATTCTGGGCCCAGACCTCTGAAGCACATTCCAGAGTGGAGCTGAACGCCCTCCCCTCCACGTGGGCTCCGGGAGGCGGCGGTGCGAGTGGCACTGCTATTATCTGCTCCCCATAGCGTGTGTTTCAGTTATTCCCTCAAAGAGAACAGCCTGGGGAAGGGGAGAGGCTGTGCCCACACCCAGGTCCCCTACAAAGCCTGTGGAATTTCGCTCTGGCAGAACAAGGCCTGAAATGGCTGGGAGGTAGCGTTGGCCTGGCTGCCCCGGCTGGGAGGACTGGAGCCTGGCCCAGCCCTCTCCAGAATACCTTCTGGCCCTCAGCCTCCTTAGCCAGCTACCCACCCAAGCCAGGCCAGGCCCTGGCATCACCCTCTGTCAGAACCTGCCTCAGACAGCACCTTTACATTCACTATCCTATCCCCCCTCGTAGGTGCTCTGGAAGTTGGTATCACATACCCCCATTTTACAGACAAGGAAACATGGCTTGGAGAGGCTGTCGTTGCCTAGGTTCTAGATCCAGATTGAATCTGTGTGCTATTTTCACACTCTGAGCAGACCAAAGAGAGGCTGCAAGGGTCACAGCAGCCACTTGGGAAGCTCATGTACTCCCACAGCTCTCGGCCCCACCACTGTCAGGGCCACTGAAGATCTGACAGGCAGAAGGTGCTGCTTTCCAACCCAGGGCAGACTCAAAGCCACATATTTAGCAGGAGAGAGGACAGACATGAACAGCAGCAAGCAGGGATGTCAAGCAGCCAGACAGGAGGAAGGACACAGAAAAAACATATATATATATATTTTTTTAAAGGATAACATTTGTGTTTCATAGAAGTTGCTGGTTTGCAAATTTTGTTCACATTGGTTATTCTCTTTAGCTTGATGGTGGTGCTGTGAGCAAGCGGGACAGGAAAGTATTTTTATATCCATTCCATCAGTGAGGAAACTAGATGAGGCCAGGGATTCTGGATCATATGTCTAGTCTAGTTTCTTTGACTGGTGGTTTTCAGCTGGGCTGCCCATAGCCTCAGGGGTCCATGGAACTTCCCAGACCCAGTCTACTTGGATCTTTCTACACTAGCGTTCACAGGAGATTTTGTTTGTTCCTGCTGAAGAAAGGTCAGAATCCACTGTAGTGCATGCCCTCCTTCCCAGAGGTCAATCCCACCTGGTCTGCTGGGGCAGGAGCAGAGGGTCTGGGCTTCATTGCCTGGTTAGATGCTCAGTTCACCAACCAATGTTCCTGCTGCTGTGATGCCCAGCATCATCAGTGGCTTAAATTGGGAGAATCAGTTAGGGCAGGACCAGGGTTCTAATCCCACTTATGTCACCCAGAGCCAGTATGCCCAAGGACAAGTTGCTTCCCCTCTCTGGACCTTGTTTTCATCACTCATGGAAGGGATTTGAATGGGCTGATCTTGGAGTTCCCTTTAATGCCAAACTTCTGTGAGTCTCAGGAATTGAGTAGTGGTCAACACATTTAAGAAAGATTTGCATCCAAATGGTTTAAATCAAACATTGATGTTTTAAAAAAAAGACCTTGCTAAGAGTTCCAGCCTGCAGTTTTCATGATTGCTGCAGTTCTTCAAGCCACAGAGATGTAGCATCTGGGGATTAAACTGGGTCCTTATTTCTATTCAGTAAGTGCACTGCCAGGGAAGGGTGACCAAGGTGCCTCAACTGTCAGAGACCAAGGCCGGCCTAACAATTCTGGGAGAAGGAAGCCCTGAGTTGGGATGTGGCCCTTCTGCGAAGCTGGGGCTGCCTTCTGTGAATGAACTATTTTCCTCTTTATTCTGAGTGAAGATGTGAGGCCAATCTGTAGGCACAGCAGAGAGGGTCCACACCCAGGATGTGTCTGGGAGGTGGGGAGCCTCCAGCCTCCTCCAGATGCTTCACTTCTGTGGCCACGGCATGCATCCACGTGTATGTGTGCAATGCTCTGAGCAAAGGTCTCAGTCCCAAAGTTGGGCTGCCAAGATTCAAATCAGGTAGCCCAAGCCAAAGAAGCCTCCACCAGCCTCCATTTTGCATCTATAAGGGGCTGGCAATAGAACCTACCTCACAGGGGTTTGTGAGGATTAAATGAGTTACTCTATGTGGAGCACTTAGCACAGTGCCTAGCATGTATTTGGATAAATGGGAGCTATTATTATTGTGACCATTTAGGCAACAAGTGACTGTTTTCTCTACTGTCCTTCCCAATCAGCTGGAGACCCCAGAGGTGAAGGCCCTGCAGGACAGGCTGATGGCCACGAATCTGAAGCTGAGTGACCTCCGCAACCAGATGAAGTCTGTGAAGCAGGATCTCCGGATGGCCCACAAGGTCTTCCAGAGCCAGAGCTTAGGGCTTCTTGTATGGCTGGGGCTGGGCTTGGGAAGAGCACAGCTGGCACAGTGGGTTCCATTCAGGAGCAGTGAGTGTCGACTTGTGAGCTTCCTGCTTGCTCTGGGTCAGGCTCAGACCCCGTAACTTCCTTCTACCAGCCCTTGGTACAGACCCATTTGGTGGTAGGTTGCCCCCCATCCCCCAATCCATGCCCTATGGTGCCTGCCCCACTCCTGACTGAGGAGGACAGCACTGTCCACCCCAGGGAGAGTTCTTTAAGCCTTCCCTGCACTACCCACACCCCAGTAGATCCTGGAGCTCCCCTTAATAAGCCTCTTTCACTTGGAAGCCTGCCAAGACCTCCCTCCTGCCCTCTGCTATCTGTAATATTAGAAAATGAATAGGTTGTTTGTGTATTAAAAGCCCCTTTCAAAGGAAAATGCACAGACTTGAGACACAGGCCCAGCTGGTTCGTTATTTATTTTTGTTTACATAGTGAATTCTCTGGCATTTGTCTTCCCTGCTGGAACCACTCAGACTGGCCAAGATTTCCAAAACACTGTTCTATTGTGGAAACAAGCGCCAGCAACTTGGTACGCTGGATTGGGTTTCCGTGGACAGGCTTCAGAGGGGCCCAGGTCACAAGCTGGGGTGTATTATTTCCACCTCAAAGCCTTGAGGTAGGGCCTGTACACCAAACTTCAGCAGCCACAAAGTTGGGCCCTTCTTGAACCATAACATACCCAATTGACACTTGGTAGCCCTCCTCCTCGTTGCACTTGTCACTAGCTTTTCACGGAGGGCCGGGTGCTGCGGCAGTGTACTTCCTGTAGCCATCCAGAATTATTCTCAGTTCTAGGTGATAAGTGAATGGGTTAAGGAAGCAGGTGATGGTCACCTTTGCTGTTCACTCACCATAGATTATATCAAGAGCAAGGGGCCCTATCTGGGCATTACTAGCACTTCCTTGGGAGAACTGCCTTCAGAACATGGTAAATTGGCCTTTGAGGGTTAGACTCTAAACTGGAGGAAGAAGATTGTGTAGGTGAAGGCCATGCCCTCTGGGAGCACCCTCCCCCCGCCCCTGCACCCATCGTTTCTTCTTAATATGCAGCAGCCTTAGGGGTCTGGTAGAGCCCTCTCTCCTGGCCACACTGAAAGTCCTGCCTCATTTCAGGTTTTGGCCAATGAGGTTGGGGAAGACGTGAACATCCAGCAGCTCCTCTCCTCACCAGGGACCTGGAGAGGTCGGGCTCAACAAATTCTCATTTTGCAGAGCAAGGTAAGTCATCAGACTTCTCCTGGCCCTGAAACAAAAGGCTTAAAATGCCCCAGAAAGACCCTCACTGACCCACCTTAGAGACTTAAGCACACAAAACCTGACAAAGGCCTTTATATCCTGCAGAATGCACTCACACAACTGTTGTTTTACATTCTCCTGAGCCAGCCTGATTTTAATTTGTTATTTAATGAACAAGCACTTATATAATACTTACCACATGCCAGGTACTGGCACTTAACAACTACCAACGCCTTTGGTTTGATTTATTTTACTCTAGGCATGTATTTTTAACTAGTTCATGTAAATTTGCGTGACTGTTGTAATTGTAGACTTTTTCCAGTTTTGTCCAGATGCTTGTAGTCTTTTGAAAGTTTTAATTACCCAATAAAAACTTAGCCTTGTCTCCCTCTTTATTTTCTAAATATTTTGGAGCATGCCAAAAGAGGATAAGAGCAGGGAGCTCTGGAGCCAGACTGCTTAGATTCAAATCCCAGCTCTCCATGAGTCCTCTCTGGGCCTCAGTTTCCTCATCTGCATAATAAGGATAATTACAGTACCCACCCCACAGGATTGTTGGGAGAACTGAATGAGTCAATACGTATAAAGTGCTCAGCATAGTGCCGGGCGTGGAGGAAGTGCTATAGGAAGGTAATTTTCCCTCTTTGCCTTCAAACTGAGAAACACATGAGAAGGTGTTTGACTTCTGCTATTTTCCAAGCACATCACCTTCATTCCCGGGGACTTCAGGGTCATGGTTCCTGAGTGGCTTTTGTTCTCAGGGTCTCCTATGGGATCCTTGAAACCAACATGAAGGGGAAAATACTCCCCAAAAAACTGTAATTGATGATCAATGCGTGGTCTTAGAGTTAAAGGGACCTGAGTTTGAGTCTGGTCTCAGTCACTATCTACTATGTCTGTGGTCTCGGGCAGATCATGTCATCTCTCTGTACCTCAGTCTCCTTGCCTGTAAAATGGAAATAATAATACCTTCTTCTTAGGAGTGTTGTGAAGTTAAATGAGATAACATTTGTAAATCACACAGCACAGTCCCTGGCCATAAATAGGCACTCAAAAAAATAGTTATTGTTATTAAGTTGTATATTAAATGATTAAAAGTAAAGGCTTAAATGGAATTACCACACAGTGCCACACGAGGGCGCTGATACATGTTTTTAAAGTAATTCTCTTGTCCTTTGCCAGGAGCCTAGTGAATTTGCTTCCTTTCCTGGCTCAGGTTTACCAACTTTGTCCCATCATTTGGTTGTGTCAACATGAAAACCAGGATGAGAAGGACCCTAGGAGTCATCTACTTAAACATTAGTGTGATAAAGACATTGTTCTGTGGGATGACATCTACCTGCCACTTGCTGAGAGCCTATGTATGCAAGTCTCTGTACTGAGGCCTTCACATGGACCATCTTGTGGTTTCTCAAAGTTGCCTAATCCTAAAAATCACTCATAGCATTTGTTTAAAATGCAAACTCCCAGGTCCTTCCCCTGCAGCTCTGATTTGTTGGGCTGTAGTGGGCCCCGAGATTTGTCATTCCAAGAAGAATCTTGGTGGATTCCCATGCCTGGGCAAATTGGGAACACTGAATCCTCCTAACATTATGCAGAGTACACCCTTGGGCCCATTTTACAGGTGAGGAACTGAGATTCAGAGAAGTTAACAGACACAGTCATATAATATAGTCAGTGAGGCTTGTGCCAGTCTCTCAGCTTCCAATCCCTGCTCACCCTCTGCAATATCTCCTGCAAGTGGCCCACCATCTTCTGAGGGTCCTACCCGATCTTAGGTGGTCTGTCTGTTAGAGTGCTCTTCCTTGAACTGAGACTTATCCCTCCTGGGCTCCTGGGGCCACACATCTGCTTCTTGGCTTCAAGCAGCCCCTCAGAGTTAGGGTGATTTTTCTCATTTACCTTGAAATGTCTCTTTTCTAAGCTAAACCTCTCTGGTCTTCCTGTTTCCTCAAGATGCCAATTCAGGCCTTCCCACCCCAGGCCCCCTCCTATGGGGTTACCACAGCCATCTGGAATGGTGGTTCAATATCCAGTCTAGCGCAGTCTCTCATTGCACCTGAGTGGTGGAGTCTATGACTGCAGACCCGTTGTGGAACGACAGGTTTTACCACCCTCAGGTTCGAGAGCTCGAGAAGCAGTTGGGACAGACCCAGAGCCGACCTTCAGGAGCAGCCAGTGATGAGCTGTCTGTCTGTCCAGACCCAAGGAAGCTGTCAGCACAGGACAAAAACCTGCTGAGGATTCGCAACCTGGAAAGGGAGAAACAGGAAGCCTGGGAGGTAATGCATGCCCAGTGAGGTCAGCCGGCATGCGGGACTGGGAGACCGTGACTTCACCTGCACGTGTTCTGAGCCACGTGTGGTCAGAGACATCTGGGGCCTTGGGCCACCTCTCTGCATGTTGCCCGTGTCCTGCCCACCCAGCTTGAGCTGTCTGATAGGGGCCTCACCCCAAGCCCACTTAATGAACTTTGGGTGGCCCCATCTGACTTTTTGGAGATGCTATATCAGAAACTTTCATTGTAAAAGGGAGAGGGAGAGGGTCACAGCCTCATAGGTGTGATAGGGTTAGATGAGACACCAGAGGAGAGAGCCAGGCTGAGGAAGAGCGGGGCAGGCTGGAATCAGCAGCAGGGGCGCATTTCACTGGCTGGGTTGAGAGTTTCAGAACTCTACCAGGTTTTAAGCAACAAAGGGAATTTATTGGCTCATGTAAATGAACAGTCCACAGGTGGCCTAGCTTCAGGCATGGATGGATCCAGGGATTTTTGAGACTTGGTCTCAGCACCACTTTCTCCTGGGTTGGCTTCACTCTCTCACATGAGGACCCCTGGTAGTCCCAGCTTCTATCCTTCAACCCAGCCTCCACAGACAAAGGGCTTCTCTTTCCCAGTAGTTCTAACAAAGTCCCAGAACTGAGTGTCTTTGGCCTAGCTTGGATCATGTGCCCATAACTGAGCCAATCACTAGCCAGGGGTACAGTGTATTTTGATTAGCCAAGCTTCAGATACCTGGCCCCAGGTCTGGGGGATGAGTCAGCCCCTCCAAACTTACACTGAAAGCGGGGCGTAGGGGCTAACACAAAAAAAGTGGCAGAAGCAGCGGGAGGAGGTGCTGGCAGGCTAAACAACAGGCCCACTTCAGTGGCCATGGCAATGGGCCCCCTAAAAGTGGGGGCTTTCCTTTTCATTAGGAGACTTCCATTTGTGGGTACCAGCTCCAGGCTAGGCCCTGTGCTAGGAACGCTGTGACCATCACCACATGGTACCTCCCAGCACTGTAGGCCATCAGATGTGAGGAGGTGAATGGTGAGATTGGAGAGGTGGGCAGGGCCAGGTCCTACTGGACCTCTGTGCCAGGCAGGGGTTTTGGCTTTTATCTTAAAGGCAGTGAAGAACAACCCAGATTTTAAGTTGTGGAGGGATGGTCAGCCATGCATTTTGGAAAGGTCACATGGTTGGTGTTGGAGGAAGTATGGGAGGCAGAGCAATGATCCACTTGAGACATGACTAAAGACCTTCACCAAGACAGTGGGACTGTAGTGGAAGGGACAGACACCTGGGATATTGAGGGTAGACTTTATAGGGCTCAGTGACTGATTGGACATGGAAGAGAGAGGAAGAGTTACAAAGGATTCCCAGGGAGTACAGCAGGTGGGTAGGGCAGAAAGGGAGTTGAGATTTGGATACCTTGGGTTAGAAATGCACCTAGCTTGGACATACACATTCACACAGAACAGAATATGTTGGGATGGCTGGACTGACCATAAGCCACAATGGTGAATAGAAAGAAACAATTCCGTGTGCATTTCCTCTGCCAGGCACCCCCTATAACCTGGAGCGTGCAGACAGCAGAGCAGCAGGTGAAAGATGGCTGTCTCCCTGCAAAGGCTCATGGCCTGTAGACTCATCAAGGTTTACTTATTTTGCATTTCTATAATTCACTTCATCAAGGATCTGAAAACACTTTTCCAGCAATAAGTGACCCTCAGGACCAAGACAGACTATGTCACCCACTGTCCAAAACCCTCCTCAGTGTCTCAATTTTGGCTCTATGGCTTTACCTAATCTGTCCTCTGCCCCCCACTCCCTGCACTCCGGCCACATATGTTTTACCCAGGGCCTTTGCTTTGCCCCTCATCTGCATTCTCTGCTCAGATGTCACCTTTTCAGAGAGGCCTTCCCTGGCCTTACTCTGTGTCCCCATCCATCCCCTTCCCCTACTTTTCAATTACGATTTATCACTAGGGAACATTGTCTGTCTCCCCTGCTAGGATGTCAGCTCCTTGGGTCCAAGGACCCTTTTGTTCTCTGCTATATCCCCAGCACCTATAACAATGTCAAGCACATAGTAGGCCCTCAGGAAACATTTGAGAATGAAGGAATGAGAGACTCCAAAGGCGTGTGCAGCACGTTTGTAGCTGACAACATGGGTAAATCTGGGGTGTTGTGCTGAGTGATCGTGCAGGAAGTGAGAGAATGGAGTGGCTCCTTTCTCCTTGTAGCTCTTCGTGCTTGGGATGTGGTGCTTCAGTTTGAACCCTAGACTTAGCGTGCCACTGAAGTATGGCTTTTCTCTTTCCCCAGCTTGGGGAAGGGTTGAGGGCTGGGGCCAGCCCTGTTCTCTGGAGGACACGCCTGGAGTTGGCCAGTGGATTTCCTCTCATGCGCCTGGAAACTGGTGTTCTCAGGCTGAGGACAGGAGTGCGGTCATCCATTAGTGCTGTCTGTCACATGCAAGGGCACAGGTGGGGGCTGCAGGCCAACCTGACATCCCTGAGAGGCCCAGGCTGGGGGTCAGGGCCCCGGCTCTACTGACTTGCTCTGTGGCCTCAACAAGCCCCTATCCCCACCCCTGGGCCTCACCAGTGAGTGAGAGCAAGGGACCAGAGGTGACCAAGGTGCTATTCAGCCCTGCTGCCCATGCCCTCACTTTCTAATTACAGAAACTTGCCAGTGAGCGGGACGCCCTCCAGAGGGAGATGGAAGAGCTAAAAAAGAAGTTCGAGGGCATGAGGTCTCGGAACAAGGTGCTGTCAAGCGAAGTGAAGACCCTCAGGAGTCAGATGGTGACCCTGGTGGAGAAGGGCAGGCATGACGATGAGCTCATCGACGCACTCAAAGGGAGATGGAAGAGCTAAAAAAGAAGTTCGAGGGCATGAGGTCTCGGAACAAGGTGCTGTCGAGCGAAGTGAAGACCCTCAGGAGTCAGATGGTGACCCTGGTGGAGAAGGGCAGGCATGACGATGAGCTCATCGACGCACTCAAGGTACAGCTGGCCCAGCCACCCAGGCAGGCTGAGAGCCAGGGCCTGCTTCCCCAGGGGAAGGGCCCCAGCACCAAAGCCCTGCCCCAGGGACAGCAGTAGCTCAGAGAGGCGAAAGACATACACAAGGGGAAGGAGACAGGATTGCACCTGGGTTATTTTTCAGCAAGGAGTGGCAGGGACAACTGAGGGGGCCAGCATAAATTCTCATCCGTGTGATGGCACAGAACCCCTGCCCTTCTGGGCACTTTTTAGTGGTAGTCCCCAAGACAACTCCCAGGATCATAGATTATAATCTCATTTCACGGATGGGGCAACTAAGACTCAACTTGGTTAGATAACTCATCCAAGATGATGCAACTGAGTTCAAACCAGGTTTATCTGACCGTAAAACCTTCCTTGATTAGCAAGACCATGCTGCTTTCCTGTCCTACAGCCTGGCTTGTCTCTCTGGGACCTGAGGCACCCCAGAGTTTGGTGTCTGAATTCCAAGTTGTGCCCACCAGCCATAGGGGTGATCATGCCTGGCTTGGCTGGGGTATTTGAGGGAACTGGGGCTGGCTCAGGCACTTGCTTTAGTCCATAATAATTTCACAGAGTGGGGCAGTGTGTGAGGTATGGAAGACCTGAAATCTAGGCCTGCCTCTGTTAATACCTCACTGTGTGACCCTAGGCCAGTTGCATCCCTTCTCTGAGCCTTAGAAGCTAGTTTTTAAAATAAGGTACAGGGCTGGATGCCCTCTGAGGTCCCCGTATGCCACCGTCCTTTGTCACTGAAGGTGGCATGATGAAAGCTGCAATCTAGCTGCAGCCCTGCTATTCACGAGCAATGTGTCTGTGGGCTCTCTGGGTCTCAGTTTCTTCCACTGCAAGGTGAGGACAACAGCCCCACCTGTTCTAAATAAATCACTGACGTTGTCTTCCCCATTGGCCCCCAGGCAGGAAGCCTCTGCTTCAGGAGTCTCCTTGGGGGTATTTCCAGGGGATAGGGCCTCAGACACGTGCTACAGACGCCCTGGCAAGGGGTTCAGGTACTACCTCCAAGGGCAGTCTCCCAGCAGAGTGAGATCAGGCTTTCCTTTTACCCAAATATCTCCCCCACTGGTTCAGGAGCCACCATCTGAGCTGCTTTCTTTTGTCCCTGAGACCTCCTTGGATGTCCTTCTCAGCCTTCTTCCTTCCGGGAGACGGAAGTTGAGGACAGGAGGAGGGTGTAGTCCCCACCTCCCTGATTGAGGGCAGGCAGTGAAGGTGTTACTAGGTTCCTGTGGGAACGAGGAATGGGTGGGTTGCTTCAGATAGAGGAGGTGGTCTGCTCTGTCCTTCCATGCCCAGGGGTTGTGACTGACCCCTGCCTGCCCTCCTGCTTGGATCCCCAGGACCAGCTGAAGCAGCTACAGGAGATTCTGGGCAGCCTGAGTCTGCAGGAGGAAAAGACGCGAGTGTCCCAGCACCACCTGGACCAGCAGCTCAACAATGAGGCTCAGCGCAGCAGCAGCCTCATCACCCAGCTGCGAGCCATGGTGGCTGAGCGGGAGGCCAAGGTGCAACAGCTGGAGGCAGAGATCGGGCAACTCAGTGTGCAGGTAAGTAGGGTGCTGGCACAGCCCTGGCAAGTCCACCCGGCTTCCATGGAACTCTCAGCTCCTTCTGCTTCTTTCCACCTGCCTTAGCTCAGCCATGCCACATCCATCCTGGCTCCTCTTCAGCCACCTGCTTCCATCTGGCTCCCCAACCCGTTCTGCACACACCTTTCCTTTCAAAAACACAAATCTAATTGTGTCCTTGCTCTGCTTAAAATCTGTCCACGGCTCCCAGCACCCTTGGCCTCACCTTGGCCTTCCCCGGGCTCCTTCCAGCTCACTCTCTCCCATCCCCAGCTGTGGCCCTCATCCTCATGACCCAAGATGGTGGCTGCAGCTCCAGTCATTGCATTCACACTCTAGGCAGCAGGATGGCAGAAGGAAAGCCACACTTCTTCATCCAGCTTCCAAGACACCAAGTGACTAACTCTCGCTGCCACCCTTCCTGAGTCTTTTCTTCACCCCTCCGCCTTCTCCTGCACTCTGTATGCATGGAAGCCATTTAGCTTCTCCCATGGACCTGCTTTCTCCTCACCCCAGGGCTATGCACATGCCTGAAGCACACTCCTCCCGCTGTCTCTGTCTGGCCAGCTGCCCCTCAGGCTTTAGGTCTTACCTAGTCATGAGCTCCTCTGGGAAGCCCCAGGGCCCCCACTCTGTGTCATGCACCCCTCCTGGGCATGCTCCTAACTCCCTGTGCATCCCCAATCCAAACTTTTGTCACACCGCATGGTCATTTTCCTGTTTTCTCCCCGGAACCCCCCCTTGAGAGGGCACAAACCATGATGCCTCAGTACCTGGCACTGGACCAAGCACACAGTAGATGCTCAATAAATGCTTGTCTGAGTGAGCCCTTGAAGATATTTGTCTTGGCAGGTGCCTTGAGGGCACAGCTTGGGGCTGCTGGGAGTCAGGCACCTTCGGCTCTCTGTGGCTGCTTATTGTGGTGGTAGTGGTGGTGCGCCCAGAGAGGGAAGTGGGTGGCCTCTGGGGAAAAGGATTCCTTGACAGGCACACGGGTCTCCCAGTGGCAGAAGAGCCTTACAGCCTCTGGCCCACTGTGAGGTTGACTGGTACAGCCGAAGGTGTGTCACAGAGCAGCCCTGAACTTGGTTTCCAGACATCTGTTGTCTGTTCAGAGGCATGAGAGCCCAAGAGCTCCCAGCCTGAGCCTCAGGCTGGCGTTGGCTGACCAGCCTGGTTTGTCCTACAGCCATTCATCCCCAGGAGCCAGGGCAGCCTGGGGCCACAGGACCAACTGGGGTAAGAATGCTAAAGCCCTTGAGGCTGAGGGAGAGCCTGAGGCATGAGGGAGGCCAGGGAACAGAGTGTGTGGCAGTACAGGGAATGTCACCTTGCAATCCTCACCCTGCTTTGTATCATGGGCTCACTGGGGAGGGGAGTCTGAAGGGGCACACAGGAGCATTCCAGCATCTTCACCTCACCACTGTCCTTGCTCCAGGTGCACAGAAGTCACCAGCTGGTGGGGGGCCAAGCATTACCCACCAGACAAGTTAATACACGTTGTGAGTTTTCTCAGAATGGTGGGGCTGGGGGATTTGCCAGGTTGTTAGGGACTCACCCCAACTGTCTACTCCTTGATGGTGGCCTGACCTCCTGCTGGGGGTCCTCTAATGTTCCTTCTCCAGCTCAGCTCCACCAGGTATGTAGAATAGGAAGGCATGAGGAGAGGGGAGGGGGCCTGGGGAGCCCAGCCTCCAGCTGAGGCTGCCTGCCCTTGCTGAGGCCCTGCCCACCCACCCCTCTAGCTCAGTGTCTGGAAGTCTAGGTGCTCCAGCTGATGGAGGCGGCTGACCTCAAGTCATACCTGGCATTCATCCACATGTGGGCGGGGCTTCCCGGAGAAGTGGGCTCACTTGGAGACATCAGTCTCTGACCTACCCCACGTACAAGGCCATGCACCTCCCTTTGGGACCTGAATGTAGAACAGCTTCCTGGCCCAGTCACAGTCCTCACACCATGTAGCTCCCTTTCTGAAGACAGGCATTATTAGAGGTCATTATCATGCAAGTAGTGCCTTCAACAAACAGGCCTCACTTTTCACTCCTGAAAAGAAGCCTCTTTCATATCTCCTGAAAGCCCTGAAATCAAGCCAAGACCCCCTCCTGCCTTCTCCAGGCCTCTGAGCCAAAGCTCTGAGAATCTAACCCACATCTGTTCCCTACAGTATCTTCGGAATAAAGGAGTGAGTGAGGGGTCCAGTGGGCCTGAGGTCAATCCCACCTATACCAAGTTCCTGGAGGACCCGGGCCTGACCAAGTCCCCAGCCTCAGCAGGAGATCATGTTGGCAGGCTTGGATCTTCTCGGTAAGAAAAAATACAGGATGGAGGGGTTGGAAAGTGAATATTAATTATTCAGAAGAAAGGTTGTTTCCTGCTGCCTCTGATGGGAAGCTACGGGTGCAATTTTAGGATGACTGTGCTGTTGTTCCTCAGCACGTTGGTCTCTCCTATTACATTAGCTCTGCATCTGCAGGAATGAGCCAAGTAGGCCCAGATTTTATGACTTCAAGACCTTGCTGGTTGCAGCTCTCTGCAATAGCATCTCTGAGCTGTCCTTGAAATGCATCTGCTCCTAGGACCTTCAAACAGACCTGTGCTGGATTGTTCAAGGCTCCAGTATATCCTGATTCTGTCTCATTTTGAGCAAGCAAGAGTTCTGGAAAGAAGGGCAGCAAATCCACAGGGCTGACCAGCCAGGGATGCTGCAAAGGCCAACACTGGCTGCCTCCTTGGGCTCCCTGGATCCCTGCTGGCCCCTGTTCTACCTCTCATGAAGAGGAGAGGCCCAGCAAGCCCCAGTCTGCCTTCCCATGGTGATGGACCCTTTTTGCCTTTGCACAGGTCCGTGACCAGCCTGGGCCACACACTGGTAGAATCTGCTCTCACAAGACCGTCCCTGACCAGTCCCCATGGGACCTCACCCAGGTATGAACCCAGGACATCTGGACCCTCATGGTCCTTTCCATTCTTGATTGCTCAGCCAGTATTCCCATTCCATTAAAAGGAGGGGAGACTGAGGCCAGGCAAAGTCCAGGGACTCTTCCGAGGTTATGTAAAGACATGGAGGATCAGAGAAGTCTGGTATCTTGTCCAAGGTGATAGCTTAAGCAGCTTCAGAAGCAGAATCTTGGCCTCTGACTCCCAGTAACCAGAGAGCTAACATGAAGAATCCTCCTGGGCCTGGCTTCTAGCACCTTCCCTTGCCTTTTCTTGTTCATTGACAGTCTCTAGGGAGAGAATTTCATATCATATGGTTTCCCACTTTAAGCCACTGATATCCCCTCAGCTCTCTGGCCCTGTTTTTGTTGATAGAACCAAACCTTAGGGCTTAAATGGGCCCTTTGTTCCCATTGCCAGCTGATAGACAAAGGATGACTTTGTCCTGCCTCTAAGTCCTGTCCAGAGCCCTGCCCACTGTCCATTGGAGCCATGCTCCTGCTGTCAGCAACCCCCACCCCAACCCCTTAGGCCAGTCAGTTCAGTTCCAGGGGAGGCCTCAGAGTGGCCCCATGCCCGCCTCTGACTCACTGTATGGCTCCAGGCAAGTTGGTCCTTTCTCTGGGGTGCTATCTCCCAAGAAGTACCCAAGAAAGTTCTGGCCTGTCATTTGGCAGCACAAGGTCCATGGGCCAAGGCCAGTCCTGCAACTGACCACCCATTGGGCTGGGGTCACAAAGGCCCTTGGGGAAGAGTGGTCTGACACTGAGCCACAGGGCACATGCACAGTCCCGAGGGTGGGGAGCCTTGTCACAGCACAGAATGGGCAAATTCTTTCTCTCTGAGATGTTAGCCACGGTAGTGGGAGCAGGAAGAAGGACAAGATGACCCCTCAAAGTGCCTTGCAGGCTGACATGGCTGTGACCTCTGCACTCCACCAGGACAGGAGCTAATGTGCTCCATGGCTGCCCAGACTGCTGGTTCTCAAACTTGTTTCCTCCATGGCACACAAATATTTACTGAACCCAACCACATGTGGGCCCTGCCTTCTTGGAGCTTACAGTCCCCTCCTGTAGGTGATAGGACAGGAGTTCATGGGACAGGAGTGATCCCAGAGAGTACGTCTGTTAGGGCTGACATGGTTTGAACCTGTGCCATCAGGTGACTCTGATAGGGTGCCTGGGAGTGGGGCAGGGTGAGGAAATCAACCCCTTCCTCCTGCTCCTCCTCTGCCCACAGAGGAGAATCATGGAGGTGACTAGAGTAGGGCTTTCCCAACTGCAGTGCACGCACAGATCTCCTGGGGATCTGCCAGGTTAAATGCAGATTCTGATTCAGCAGGTCTGGGATAGGAACTGGGGTTCTGTATTTTTAGCAAGCTTCTAGATGATGCCAAAGCAACTAAATCAGAAACCACTCTGAGAATCAAGGTCTTAGAGCATATTTAGGAGTCAAAATATGGAGGGGTCTGCGGTTTTCAACCAACCCCTCAATGTTCAGAGGGAGAACTGGGGCCAAAAGCGGGAAAGAGACCTGCCTAGGACCACAGAGTGGGCCAGCCTTAAGACTCCCATATCCCAGCCCAGACCTCAATACACTGCCCACCTCTGTAGCCCTCCCTATGCCCTGCATTGCTGGAAGAGCAAGCCCTGGGTCACCCAGGGTCTCACTGGGAAAGGTGAGGGCACAGCAAAGAGCATCCTGGTACTCACACGTGGACTCTAGCTCATCTCCATCCTGCCCCAGCCAGCAGGCAAAGGGCTGGTAAGGCAGGCCCATTGGTAAAGAGGAAAGCAGTAATGGGTTGGGTCAGGGCTGGAGAAAACTGATCAAGTCACAAAGCTAAGTATCCAGGCTCCAGGAAAGCCAAGCGTCTAGGCTTGGGGCCAAGCCAGGAGATGCAGGGGGGCTGGGGCAGGTTGGTGGGGACACAGAGACTGGGCATACCTGACATTTGGCAGGGCAGCCAGGCCCCAGAGGCACAGAGGTACCCATGGTACCCCAGGCCCCCAAGAACCAGCTTCCATAGCAGCCAGACTAATTCCAGGCCCCCACAGTGATTGGATGGACAGAGGTACCAATGCAACTCTAGCTCTGGTAGGGTCTAGCTTTGGAGCCAGCTAGGTGAGGCCTAGGGATGTCAGCAGGACCAGGAATGGTGGGCCAAGAAGAAGCCAGGGGAGGAGGTCCAGGAGGGGCTGGGTTTGCTTCCTTCTCTCTGGCTGTTTCTGAGAACCCCTGAATGTCCTTCCAGTCCCTTCCACCATCACAGGGATAAGTGTGTATCCTCAGGCCTCAGATAACTCCTGCCCTCTGCCCTCTACTCTGATCCCAGGTTTTCAGACTCTCCAGAGCAAAAAGGCTGGCAGGCACAAGTGACAGAGATGAAGGCCCTCTGGCAAGCCACCGAGGTGGAGCGTGACCGGCTCACTGAGTTTGTCACTGTCCTGCAGAAACGGTAACATGTGGTGCCCCGGGGTGCTTTCTCATGGACCTGCATGGTGTGGGGACTAGGGCCAGGCCTCATCTGTGACTGGGTTCACCTCACCTGAGAGCTTGGCTCCCACAGTATTGGCCCAGAGCATTCCCAGCCACAACTCATGTAGCCACCCAAGTGCCCCACGACCTTGGGGCCTTGTCATTACACTGTGATTTGCTCTTAGAAACACCCCTGTCCTACATGCACCCACCCAGTGGGACTGTCGCATAGCATGTGGATAGCCACAACTCATGTAGCCACCCAAGTGCCCCACGACCTTGGGGCCTTGTCATTACACTGTGGTTTGCTCTTAGAAACACCCCTGTCCTACATGCACCCACCCAGTGGGACTGTCGCATAGCATGTGGACACAAGGTAGGAGTCTCAGGGGAGAAATGCTCTGGAGTAGTCAAGTCAGTCAAATCAATCCACAAATAATTAAAATCTATCATGATTGGGAGAGCATGGTGCTGTTAACACCAGGGTCACGTGTTCAGATCCCTGTACTGGCCAGCCGCCAAATAAATAAAAATAACATAAAATCTATGATGAACCTGGCACTGCTACTGGAGAGTTTGGTGGGAAGAAGACACAGGCTAGACTGATGTCTGGAATTACAAAGAACAAGAGAGCTGCTGATAGATGGGGAGCTGAGACATCTCGGGGGAGGCAGGGAGGGAAGCATGTGGCCCGAGGCAGTGGACCAGGAGGTACGGTTTTCTCCAAAGGGTTGTTGACAGACTTCCATTCAGATAAATCAGTGCTCCCCACTCAAGTGACCTTTTTGGCAAAAATTACAGGTGCCCAGGCCAACACATGGCCCACCCATGTGACCTCCACACTGAAAAATATAAAGGACACCACTGAGTTGCTGCCCTGACAGGCCATATCATGTATCAGTCAGGGCTCATTGATGATAGACAGTAGAAACCATTTCTGGCTAAACTAAGTGGAAGTCCCATTTTTAGAAGGTACTGGCGGACTCTGAGGCACAGAGCAAGAGAGGAGTCCAAGAAAGTGCAGGGGTCTTGGTGGCAGGAACCTTGGGCAGTCTCTCCTGGGCCACTGGAATGACACAGGCCCAGTGGCTTTCAGTTCTTATGCCAAAGGTTTCTGGGAGAGAAGGGCTAACTGGCCAGTGCTGCTCCATGTCCACCCCACACGTGAGGGCACTCTGACCACAAGCACCTCCAGGTGTTCACGGAATGCAGGAGGGGTAGTTTGTCAATGGGAAAAATGGGGTGCCATTACCAGAGAAGGAGTTAGGGGTCCTGGGAGGCAGAAACAAGGGACGCCCACTAACTAAGCAGGGAGAAGTGGTCAGCTTTAATATTTTTTCTTTTCGTATAGTACATAGAGAGGATATGAGTTTCAGACACACTTAGGTATATGCAACAAAGAACGTTAATTCTTTTTGTATAGTTGAAGTGTAATGGATAGTACAAGTCTCTAGTCCATCAAAGGGTAGAAGTATACTCAATTCAGGCTTTCTCTCCCATTTCCATTGAGTTACACCTGAGTGGGGGGGGGGGGGTTGTAATCCAAGGTGACTCCGTCATCTATTGCTGTGTAACAAACCATCCCAAACTTAGTGGCTTCAAACACAATGCTTTGTTCTTTCTCATGATTCTCTGGGTTGACTGGTGCCAGTCATATGGCTTCATCCAGCTGGACTGAGGCTCAGCAGGGTGCCTCAGTTCTGCTTCATGTGGCCTCTCTGTCCATGTGGGATCTCATCCTCCATGGCCACACCAGCAGGGCTGGGACTAGGGCGAGGCAAGCAAGGCACCTAGGCTCAAAATTTAAGGAGGGGCTCACTCTCAGAGTCACACAAATAAAACTCTCTGTCTGCTGATACCCTTGCTCTTTTGGAGTCCTTGGGTTCATTTTGCTGCTCTGTGTTATTTTGGGGTGTCTGGGAGCTCTGTGAGGCTATCCCAGGCCCATCAGCCAAGACATATTGCCTTGCCGTGGAGTATCGCTATATCCCTCCCTGGGCTTTAACAAGAAATGGGGGCCTAGGCACACTCTGCACTTAGATTCCCCCAAACCTATTTGGATTTTTCATCCCAAAGTACAGAATCTTCCCTTCTCAGAGATCCTTAATATCTATTCCTTCCTTTCCCTGCGCGTCTATCCCAGCCTTCCACGGGGGAGGTCCTTCTCTGTGTAGCTTCCCTATCTCCCGCACTCTGCCCTACGAATTCTGCTGCCTCGGCCCCTACCTACCCAGTTCCCCAGTCTTGAGTTCTTATCCCACCAAGAGCGCTGTGCTCTGCTGGGGTCCCCTCACCCCCTACCCTATAGTCAGAGAGGGCCTCAGGCAGAAGGCCAGGGCCACGGTAGAACTCATGTCATTCTGTTCCCTTCTCTCAAGTCTTGTGTCCAGCGCCTGTGGTCCTGTTGTTCATTTTCTGAAAACAAGTTATTTCTTATATTTTATCTGTTTTTCTAGTTGTTTACAATAGGAGGGGTTAGTCTGGTAAATCTGGCATGGCAAAAGTCACTAAATATGTCTCTTTTTAAAAAAGCATGTAGTTGGCTTTGCTTTTAAATTCAATCTAGGAATTTCTGTGTTTAACAGTAGAGTTTAACCCATTTTCATTTGTAAAATATTTGATCACCTTAATTACTTCTTCCTATTTTAGGTGATTTTTCTTTGCTCCCTTTTCTCCTTTCTTCTTCCTTATACAAGTATTGGATTGATCAAGTTTTATTTCCCTTCTGCGCAAGTTTGGAAGTTCATGTATGTTCTGTCTCTGTTCTTTTAGTGGTTACCCTTAACTTGTAACGTGAAGCTCAGCCTAGCAAATCTCAAGTCAATGGGTGTTTTTACTATCACTTTGAGCATCAGAGTAAATTTAGAATGTTTTAATTCTGATTTCTTCACTTGTGTCTTTCATGTTACTCTTTTCCAAAATTTCTTTTCCACATTCTTTTTTAAATCCCTGAAATTAAACTCTCCAAATTAATCTTGAATGTTGAATACTGAATATTCACTTCTTTTGCCAACGTGTTTAAAAATGGCCTCACTCACCGTTGCCTCTCGCATCTGAATCTTCTTTCTGGGTTCAGTTTCCGTCTCACTGAGGTGCATCCTTTAGTTCAGTGGAGCCATGTAAATGGTAAACTCTCTTGAGTGTATATTTATTTTAAAATGTCTTTATTATTCCTTTCTCTTGAATGAGAATTTAAGAGATATTTGGACAGAGAATTCTAAATAGATGGGTATTTTTTTCTTAACACTTTGAGGCTCTTATTCCATGTTCTTTTAGCATCATCCACTGCTGCTGAAAAGAAATCTGCTATCAGGTTGATTGCTGTTCCTTTGTAGATTTGTCCTTTCTCTATGGATGCTTTTTCAGATATTTTCTTTGTCTTTGATATTTTGATATTCACTGTGATGTGTGTAGGGATATATATACATATAAGTTTTTCTGCTCGGGACCTGGCGTCCTTTTTCAATCCAAGGACTTCACTCCGTATATTGCCAAGGACTGCTCTCCATGTGTTGTGTCTCCCCGTTCTCCCTGCTCTTCTCATCTAAAATTCCTAGTCAGCCCATAGTTAGATTTTCTTATTCTTTCTGCCACCCTTCTTAATATTTTGAGCTGAATTCTGGGTGATTTTTTCAAATCTAACTGGCAGCTCACTAAATCTCTTTAGTTGCTCTTCATCTACCATAAAACCTATGAGAGTATTTCAAAAAGTTCATGGGAAGATTTGTATTATCTTTCCATTCTATTTTTGCATGAACTTTTTGAAGTAGCCTCTTATTTTAATAACTGTATTTGTGTGTGTGTGTAAAACGCGTTTTCTTTCTTGTAGCATTTATTCTTTCATTAAGATTTCTTGTTTCTCCTCTTTTTTAGGAATTTTTTTTCCCATTTTTAAAAATTTATTTATTTATTTATTTATTTTCATTCTAAGATGTTGTAGAGCAGTTGGGGGGAAGGGGAGAGGGGAAAGGGGAGGGAGATAAGGTGGGAAGAGGAGGAAGGAGCTAGGACGTGGTCAAGGCCTGGGGCACACCCCTCATTCTAGCAGGGGAAACCCAGGGGCTCAGTAATGGCTGGGCTGGAGAAGGACTCAGGGGGAAGGTGTGGATGAGGCCCTCGTCGCCCCCCAACCCCAGGAGATAAGGTGGGAAGAGGAGGAAGGAGCTAGGACGTGGTCAAGGCCTGGGGCACACCCCTAATTCTAGCAGGGGAAACCCAGAGGCTCAGTAATGGCTGGGCTGGAGAAGGACTCAGGGGGAAGGTGTGGATGAGGCCCTCGTCGCCCCCCAACCCCAGAAGCCCAGGGCCCTTGCTGCGGCAGCTCGGTGGTCATCACTGGGCTGGGTGTGAACATCAGGGGGCATGACTTAGGTCCTGTGGGGGGACCCCCTCCACCCCTGGTCAGGAAACTGGGGCACTTCTGGTGATGGTTTTGTGGTCATCACTTGGCTGGATATGGACATTGGGGGGCGTGGCTGAGGCCCTTGGCCCTGCACTGCACTGGTCCAAGAGCCCAGGGCGCTTCCAGTGGCAGCTCAGTGGTTGTGACTGGGCTGGATGTGGACATCAGGGTGCATGGCTGCAGCCCGCAGCCCCCACCCTTCACCCCAGCTTGGGAGCTCCAGGCGCTGCTGTGGTGGCCTGGTGGTCGTCACTGGGTTCAGTGTGGATGTTGGAGGTGTGTGTCTGAGGCTCTCGGCCTCTCACGACCCTGGCTTAGGAGCCCAGGGCACTTTCAGCAGCAGCTCAGTGGTCATCGCTGGGCTGGATGCAGACATCGGTGGGTCATGGTTGAGGCCCTTGGCCCTCTCCCCACCCCAGCTTGGAAGCCTGGGGGACTTCCAGTCCTTCTAGGTTTTACAGGTGTTCTTTGGTGGTATTAAACCTTTATTGGTTAATATCAGAACTTTGTCTCTGATCTGTGGGTTTTTTGTTTTTTCTTTTAGTTCTTTGTTGGATTATTTGCTATTCCCACCACTT